TCAAAATTGATGCCACTGGGATTCACCCTGCGGAATCCAAACTGAAAGCTATTATGCATGCTCCCAGGCCAAAGTCTAAGGCCGAACTACAGGCTTTCCTGAGCCTCCTGAATTTCTACAATTCCTTTCTTCCACATAAGGCTAGTGTAGCTGAGCCTCTTTACAGGCTCTTAGACAAACAGGCAGTGTGGCAGTGGTCACAAAAACATGAGGCAAGTTTCAATGAGGTCAAGGCCTTACTCACTTCTAACAATGTACTCGCACATTTCAATGAATCCCTTCCTGTGTGCATCGCTTGTGATGCTTCTCCTTATGGGGTAGGAGCTATACTAAGCCACCTCAGGGCAGATGGAACTCAGGTTCCTGTTGCATACTACTCCAGAACCTTGTCTGCTGCTGAGCGTAATTATGCTCAAATAGACAGGGAGGTTTTAGCTGTGGTTGCTGGAATTAAAAAATTCCATGATTTTTTATATGGCAGGCATTTCACGGTCTTCACTGACCATAAGCCTTTGTTGGGACTGTTTACCACACATAAGCAAACTCCCCAAATCATCTCCCCCAGAATGCTAAGATGGTCTATCTTTCTTTCTGCCTATGATTTCTCCCTACTTCATAAACCTGGGAAGGAAATGGGCCATGCTGATAGCCTCAGTAGGTTACTCCTGCCGGTAATAGAAGCTGACCCTGCTCCAGCTATCAATTTTCTCTCCATTCAGGCCTTGCCCGAGTCTCCTTTGAATGCCAGAGATGTAGCCGCTGAATCAGGCACAGATCACACACTTTCACGTGTCCTTTCTTGGGTTTTATCTGGATGGCCAGAGAGCTGTCCTGGCACTGAGTTTCAGAGTTTCTGGTCTAAAAGGAACGAGTTGTCCACCTTCCAGGGTTGTCTGCTTTGGGGAAGCAGAGTTGTCATTCCTACCTCAATGAGGACTAGGGTCTTAGGGTCCCTCCACGAGGGTCATCCTGGCATTGTACGCATGAAGGCGCTCGCGCGCAGCCATTTGTGGTGGCCTGGGTTAGATAGTGACATTGAAGCTAAGGTGCATGCATGCCACCTTTGCCAATGCTCACGCCCCGAAATGCCACAAGCTCCTGTACATAGATGGGAGGAAACACAGTCTCCATGGTCTAGGGTGCACATTGACTACGCTGGGCCCTTTCAGGGTCAATTCTTCTTGGTCCTAGTTGACAGCCATTCAAAATGGCTTGAGGTTGTACCTGTATCTTCCACCACGCTGCAAAGACTATTCAAGTACTGAGGGGGATTTTTGCTGCACATGGGCTTCCAGATGTCCTCATGTCTGACAATGGCCCTCACTTCTTCCAAATTCCAAGCTTTCTTACAGGCTAACATGATTCGTCATGCCACCTCAGCACCTTTCCACCCGTCCACCAACGGTATGGCTGAACGTATGGTTCGCATCACCACGGACTCCTTGAAGAAAATTACCTACAGAGACTGGCATCACAGGTTGGCTGACTTCCTCCTTTCTTATCGCACTGCACCATCCACTTCTATGGGGAGGAGCCCAGCTGAACTTCGTTGGGGGCACAAACTGACTACCAAGCTTGACCGGTTGCATCCGGATAGACTGCCTTCTTCTTACACACGCCCCAGGGCACCTAGACAACTCCTTGTGGGTGCCCCGGTTTGGACTCATAATTATGGGCCTGGTCATTCATGGGTCCCCGCTTCTATATCCAGGGTCACAGGTCCTCTGTCTTACGAGGTGTCCCTGGATAATGGTCGTGTCCTGCGTCGACACATCGACCAACTTTGCCCTAGACGGGACCTTCCCACTGAGACTCCTGGGTCTTTTCCAGGGGGGAAGGGGGACCCCTTTGGGCAAAGAGAAGGGCATGGGCTGCTGCCCATTATCAATGAGGAAGCCACAAACGGCTCATCTCAAGATTCCGCGAGTGCTCCAAACAGGAATTCAAGGAGCCCAACTAGATACCAGGCATCAACGCCTACTCCAGCCAGGGAGTCACCCCGGGGGCATAATCACTACTCACCCGCATCACACAGTACTCCAGTCAGGGAGGATACCCGGGAGCATCCCAATAAACCATTTCCCGCAAGAGAGCTGGCACACACTCTTTCTAGTTGGCCCGACACTACCCCTGTCCCTAGAAGGGGCAAATATACAGGGAGGTGGTCGAGGAACCAAATCCCGACTACAACACCTCTGAATTCACTAAGGGAACAACTGAGTTTTGGGACAGTACTGGAAACCCCACAAACCTGGGGACAGAATGGGAACCAGGGGACAGACAACCTCCTGACAGGTCTTGGATGGACCTTGGAGGTTCTACAGAATCGCCCAACAGTGACAGTCACTTAGAGGGGCCAGAGAGCCTGCAGCAAGGCAGGACAACCAGGTTAAACAAAGAAAGAAGCCCTGGCCTGACGAGCCCGGTGGGCAAGCAAGCAGGCCAGGCATTGGAGCACAGTCCTGGGAACCACCAAGGCAAAACAAGGGGGATAGGCACGCATCACCCCTCAGTCAAGGGGTACTTGGCAGGTACCCAGAAGTTAGGAGGTCACAGAGAGCCAGGAAATCTCCTAAGTATTTAGAAGATTTTGTAACTCTATTGGCAAAACAGAGTTAACAGAGGGAACAGAACACTTAGACTAATAGAAGCAAAAGTAATACCTGGCATTGGGTAGTATGGCACTGCACTCGAAATGGGTTATGTGTTACTATGGCATGGTTAATAGTTTTAACCCGGGGGGAAGGGGTGTTATGTCCTGAGCCTGTGCAAGCAGGCTCGGGGCATTGCAAACAATCCCGGACAGGTGCAAGTTGCCCGGGACCAGACAGGCTGTCGCCAGTACTTGTGCGCATGCACAAGTGCTGGCGCGCCAAAAGTTGCAGATTGACCCGGGAATGACCTATATAAGAGGCCAAGAGTTTTGGGCGTTGCCGCCGTCTTCCAACTGTAAGCTGAACTAAGAATAAAGAAGTCTTTGAGAACTACAACTGCTTCTCGTGTCTTGCCATTTCGCGAAGGACGCAACACATACATTACACATATTGCAGAGTGTCCAAAAATTAATTATTGCATTATATTAAAGTTTATATTTTTATAATATTAAAAACAGCAATATATTATAAATATTAAGATTAAAAATGGGAACATAAAATAAATATATTTGGAATTTTAATTAGTTTTATTCTGCCTCTTATTATATTTTTATAAATACATCAGTGAACATACCTAATATTCTTCCTCCTATTATTTTTCCTACAAAAGGCTGAGAGTGACTGGCCCAAAGTCACCCACTTGGCTATCATGCCTAAATTGGGACTAGAACTCACACTCTCCTGGTTTCTAGCCTGGTGTATTAACTGCTTGACCAATCAGGCTCTTGCATATAGTAGATGCAAATAGAAGCAATTTGTATATAAGATTTGCAGGTGTTCTCCTGATTGAAAAAATATATAGAAAAAAATAGTGAATATCTATGACACTGAATCTGATTAAATATTTTTTTTACTTCAGTTTGGGTACTACCTAACTCCAAACCAACTCTGGGCAGCTCATAATATAGTAAGCAGTAAAAACAAAACAGGAATCTAGTCCCTTGATACAAAAACATCTACTGCTCTGCATAGCCTTGGTTAGACCACACTTAGAATATTGTATCCAGTTTTGGTCATCCCAACACAAAAAAGATATTGAGAACATAAATTATTAGGGGCCTAGAAGCATACAAAGAATGATTGCAGGAACTGGGTATATCTAGTCTAGTTAAAAGAAGGATCAGGGGTGACATGATAGCGTCTTCCAGTACTTGAAAGGCTGCCACAAGGAAGAGAGGGCCAACTTATTTACCAAAGCACCTGTAGGCTGGACAAGAAACAATGGATGGAATCTAACCAAGGAGAAAAGCAACCTAGAACTAAAGAGAAAATTCCTAACAGTGAGGACAATTAACCAGTGGAACAAATTATCTTCAGAAGTTGTGGGTACTCCATCACTGGAGGCTTTTAAGAAGAAACTGGACAGAGGCATATCATCAGCATAGTTATTGATATTTCTTCATCCAATTTGAAACAATTTATCATATTTAAAATTAAAGATATTAAGTACTTTATGGCAATATAATTTTTTTGGAAATCCTGTACCAAGAATTCCATATCCATCAGTAAAAAGGACTAAAATAAAAGGGTCTTAGGAAGAAAAAAAAGATTCTTAATTAGAATTTGATGCAGATGAAGTTGCATTTAATGTTATAATGAAAGATTATGCCAATCTGACAATATTATTAACACTCTAGGTCACTCATATCTACTATTGAGCAGGAAATTGAAATGTTTTTACCAGATGATCTTCCCACTATGGCATAGCATTAATTTACCATAATTATATAATCTTGATGTCAGCAGCCAAAGACTTGGGCATAAAAAAGGAACTCTGGTAGAGATAACCATTTCTTTGCTTTGGAAGGAAATGTTTGATTTGTGTTTCCCTGGGGTTTCATATTGTGAAGCTGTTGACATGTTCCTAATTTGGTTTATGAAGGGTAAAGCTATGAATGACACAACTGTAATAGTTTATGAGATAACTGCTGAAGATTTTGTATGCTCCATAATTTGAACTGTGCATGTGTGAGTGAGCTATAAAACTACTCTTTTTTATCAGGAGTATTTGTGAACATACAGAACATATATGGCCAATAAATAATTCAAAGGCATCTAACTCACCTGTAGATTTTTTATGTTATCTACCAAGTTTTGAAGTCTAGTTGGATTGAAAATTATGTTTACTGTGACATATGTTTACAAATTGGCAAAATGAGACAGTGGCAAATGATATTGCCTTGAAAAATAAACCTTATTTCATTATGCCATAACATTTGGATGTAATAGCAGCCCCAAGGAGTAGTTGCTAGACTTTAGTAAAGTGCATCCTTAAGCTCTTGATTTTAGAATCTGTGCTATGTGAGAAAATTCATTATATTTCTCTTCTTTTTGTCTTTATTTCAGTTCAATATCAATTTACAGTCCCAAGGAGCATCCCAACACCTTTGATGCTGCTGCTTTCTTCCAATCAGTGGGGAATTTTTTAGGGATCTTTGCTGGATCTTTTTCTATGGGCTCTGCTTATGCAATTGTCACTGCACTAATATCCTTTGTTGCCAAATTAGAGTATGTTTGGAAAATCAGGTGCAGTAAAATGCAACCATTTCATGTTTCACATCAAATAAGACTTTGTGTTTTAAGACTTTAGAGATGCCATAAATATAATCTCTATTGGCTCTAAAGTCATTTCTGTCATAATTTGCAGCTGCAGATGAGCTTCAATGCATATGCAAATTTGTTAATCTGACCATTGGAAGTGTTAACAGATGGGAAGAATGAAAATGAGGGTAAATAGCCTTCTATAATCATCTTCCTGCTTAAGTTGTATATGATTCATTCATTTATTTTTTCTAATGACAGTCAGTATCCATATCAGGAATTTGTACAAGCGATAGTTAAAAGACTGGATGACTTAAAAGTAACTAATATATTTACTCAGTGTCTACAACAAGGTAGACATTCAGAGTGTTTGAAACCAAGACAGTTTCTTACATTTTTCTGATTCTCTTTCTTGCAGTCATATTTCTGTTTTCTTTCAGGGCAGCCTGTCAGTGAATGTCTCCTGTGGAAAAGAATGATACATTTTGCCTTGAGTTAGAACTTTACTTGTTTGTTTGTTTTTTATAAATTTAGAAGAATTTTAATGAGTAAACAAACAAAACAAATATATGTGCTTCTAGGAGGCCCTTTTCTGTAGCAATGTAGAATAAGAACTATTGCTGTAAGAGAAAGAGGAGTTAACAATTTATAAGTAACTGGTTTTTGCCCCTGTGGAGATAAAATGCTCAAAGACAGGACAGTTCTTTGAGGAATGTGAGCAAGGAACAAAGCATGTGTTCCCTTTATGGAGTATCTCCAGAGTAGTAATTTACAGCATTACCTAGACATCACTGTAGTGTAAACCTTTCTTTATTAACAAAGGCTGGTTTATGCTATAAATTGCTAATGCAAAAGATCTTGTTTCTGTCTTCCACTTCAATATATGGCCTCACTAGCTTCACTGCATTTTTTAAAAAAAGCAATGAAGTATAACATAGCACCGTAAAGACTATTTTATAATTCTTTAACTTTCCCAGATCACAGTCCACTTCATTAGATACAAATGGTCTGTGATCCAGGAAAGGGAAGGCAACAGAATTCTTTATGATGGTTTGCTTGCTTGTCACAAAATACTATCAGGAACACTCCCCTGAAAACTATATTTTTTAAAGTCTCCTCAATAATACAATGGTTGTGCCTTTATCCTTCAGTAGATAAATTAAAACATTTTTATGCAAAAGCACATGTTTTGCTGCTACTATCAGTGGGTTGGGTTTTTTTTTTCATCCTAGTTTAGGAAGATAGTTTTTTCAGGTTGACATTTTTGGGTTATGTTGTTAGCTACCCTGAAAAACCACATGATTTGTTTAAAATAAAATAAAATAAAAGTAATATTATAGCTCATTGAGGTATAAAATATTTCACAGCCTCTGGGTAAATTATGTTTAACTATACAATATAAGGCTGTGAAATTTAACTGACATTTGCAAAAGTTCTTTCTTTCACACATCCTGTATTCTCTCATTGCTGGATGAGTTTCTTTCTGAAGGAGCATGGAAATCTGACAGGTATTTAAAAGACTCATATAACTTTAAAAAATATACAGAAAAGAAGGTATAATGAAGCTTCAGAGGTAAAAACCTAACTCCCCCAAACTCTGCATCAGCATAAACATATCCAGATCCATAACTTTCCAAATATACTCTCATAACAAATTTTTATATGATAGTTTTCTTATTGCCAATAAATAGAAATAGAAATGCAGAAGCTTACTAAGTAAATAAAAATTCATTTAATGAGAATTTTAACAAGCTATAGAAAGAATAAAAATAATAATGTCTATTCCATGTAACTATAGAGCGGATAATACAATGCTACTTGTTTTTAATCCAGATTTAATAACCTTAATTGTATATATCATGGAAAGATAATTCCATCAAGCTTAATCTTCATCTACAAGTTGCACAGACACCTCACTTCAGTCAGCAGAAACAATCCAAACATATTTTAGATAGCTTGAATCTAAGCTGTCTATAAGCTGACTCAGTCTTGTATCTTATGGCCACCAGATCATGCCAAATTCCAAAGCCTTTTTCACCTTGGAATAGATCAATTTTATTTGATGCTGTTAAATAAATCTATGGATTGTTAATGCATTAATTTTTAATTTAAACACAAGCCAAAACTCAAAAGAAAAAACAAGCCATATAGTCAGTGATGTTATCATATCTTAATATAAAGTGCTTATTTTACACTTTGCCATGTTGCCTTGGGTAATCCATTGAGTGAACATAAAGGATTCTAGATAATATATGCAACATACTGCACAAATAATGCCTTAACACAATGGAATGAATGAAATTATTGTCTCTAGATAAAATGTCTGTATGTAATATTTCTTCCATTGATTTACTAAAATCTTAATATGCCTATTTTTACTTTTTAAATTAACACTAAATAGGTTCCACTAAGCTAGCAATGACCTTCCCCTTAGCTTGAAATTTTATAATCCTTGAGGTCATTCTGAGTTGATCGTCCTGTTTGCCGTTTGACTTTATAACAAATTTATTTCTATGGCCTGAAAACATTGTAAAGCAAAGTTGAACTAGAATTATGAATAATATGAATAGAACTAATAATGGGAAATTAAAGTTATATTTGTCCAATCAATGATATAGTCAATTCTTTCAAAGCATGAACAGTTATAAACATATCCAGGAATATTTTCCTTGAAGTTGCTTGTGAAATAAATATTCATACAAACAAAATTAATTAAGCTTTTCCAGTAGACTCTCAAAAGCATAAACTTCTTGGAAGTGGAAATTGTTAATCACTGCAAATTATTTGTAGCTAAAATATCTCTTTTCTTAAAATTCAAAGGGAAATTACCCACAGCATGAATATCTGGTCATATCTTTTGAAGATATGACAAGATTTTTTTTTTCTTAGTTTTGTATACAGTCAGGATTCTGAGAAAGAAAAAGACTTATACAGTACTTATTCCCATTGAACCCACTGGATTTATATTTTTCCACAGACAATGGATGTATGAATTGATCTACATCAAACATTCACTGCTTGATGTCCCCATCATATTAAAAGCAAGAGAGAGAAAAGCCACCAGAACATTTACAAAAGGGGCTCCAAATTATAATTTTACTACTGTTGACTATATGGGAAAATATTATCATAATTATTTTAAAATTATAGTCAATTACATTTAAATTAGCTAGAATTTAATGGAATCTAGTTCCATACACTTAACAGTATGACATTCATGTACTGTATCCACTCAAAGGCTACAGTACTAATCCCAAATAATATTATAGCTCTGGTCTCACCCTTGGGTCCAGAAATGTTTAACTGCCTAATTGTTTCAACCAGCATATCAATGATTAAGAATTTTCAGTAACTTATAGAAACCCAACCAGTTGAGAATCAGTGGATGAAGGGAATTTTATGATGATTCAGTGGCAGTTTGAACATCACAACTCTTCATTTTAACTTCACTTCTTCAAAATAGTGTTGTGTATAAGAGTTCTTTTCATACTAGTACTGTACTTAATGTTACAAAATCAAGTCTGAAAACTAAAACAATTGCTCTTTTTCCTTAGCTGTTTTTTTTTCCTTTAGCACTTGACAAAGTTTACTAAACTGTGTGAGTTCCCCATGTTGGAAACTGGCTTGTTTTTCCTTTTATCATGGAGTGCCTTCTTGTCTGCTGAAGCTGCTGGCCTTACAGGTAAGTATTTCATGCCATGGAGGTAATTAGGAGGTTCCATTTTCTACTGTGATACAAAGATATGTGTGAAATCATACAAAGATATGTGTGGAATTGTGTACTTTGATGCAGTGTTCAACAAAGATGGAGAAATGGAGAGATTTTAGGATGTAAAAATACTGGTAGAAAAATAATATGTAGTACTGTATATAGTTTGAATATTAATCAAAAACAGCAAAAATGTGTGTAAAAGGATATCTTTTCCTGTTTTGTTATATGAAAATGAAAGCTGAGTACATAAAGAGAAACTTATAGGTAAATGAAGTATATTAATGTGCTAACTAAAACATATGATAAAGGAACAATCAATATAGTAAAGAATGAATGGCTATTGAATGAATGTGGACTGAATACAAATGCGAGTGACTATTATGAAAAAGCTTGTTGAGTATATGTAATTGTATCAAGAATGTGAATGAAGATTGATTTAAATAAAACATGAAAAAAATGAATGGATCAAGAGACAGAGGAAAATTGAAAATCTTATGAATAAATTTGGTGAGTTCCTCAAAAGAAAAATGTAAGAAATTTCAAGAAAGAAGGCAATGTGTGAAGCAGTGTAGGAATTTTATGGAAGCCAGAATGGTTTGCAAAATTAGAAAGTTATAGTGGTATTAATATAAATTAGTTTCAGTTAAGTTTCCTTTTATTTTTCTTATCCCCTGCTTTTGAATTTTGTGATGGGAATCTAGGTATTTGATGATGATGATGATGATGATGATGATGATGATGATGATGATGATGATGTTGGAAGGCATCTTAGAGGTCATCTAGTCCAACCCCCTGCTCAGGCAGGAAACTCTATACCATTTCAGACAAATGGCTGTCCAGTCTCTTCTTAAAAACTTCCAGTGTTGGAGCATTCACGCTTCTGGAGGCAGGTTGTTTCACTGGTTAATTGTTCTACCTCAGGAAATTTCTCCTTAGTTCTAGGTTGCTTTTCTCTTTGGTTAGTTTCCATCCATTGCTTCTTGTCCTGCCTTTAGGTGCTTTGGAGAATAGCTTGACTCCCTCTTCTTTGTGGCAACCCCTGAGATATTGGAACACTGCTATCATGTCATCCCTCCTCTTTCTCTTCATTAAACTAGACATACCCAATCCCAGCAACCGTTCCTTATATGTTTTAGCCTCCAGTCCCTTAATCATCTTTATTGCTCTTCTCTATATTCTTTCTAGGTCTCAACATCTTGTTTTACATTGTGGTGACCAAAACTGGATGCAGTATTCCAAGTATGGCCTTACCAAGACATTGTAAAGTGGTATTAACACTTCACATGATCTTGATTCTATCTCTCTGTTAATGCAGCCTCACGCTGTGTTGGCTTTTTTGACAGCTGCAGCACAACTGCTGGCTCATCTTTAAGTGATTGTCCACTAGGATACCCAGATTCCCTCTCACAGTTACTACTATTGAGCAAGGTACCACCTATACTATACCTGTGCATTTGTTTTTTCTTGCCTAAATATAGAACCTTACTTTTTTCACCACTGAATTTCATTTTGTTAGATAGAGCCCAATATTCAAGTCTGTCAAAATCCTTCTGTATCTTAAGCCTATCTTCTAAAGTGTTGGCTATTACTACCAGCTTGATGTTGTCTGCAAATTTGAATAGTTCCCCATCTATCTCCTCATCCAAATCAGTGATGAAGATGTTGAAGAGCACTGGGCTCAAAACAGAGACCTGGGGCACCCCACTACACATTTCCCTCCATGTTGATACAGTTACATTGAGGACCACACACTGAATATGGCCAGTCAGCCTGCTATGAATCCATCTGGTGGTGATTCTAACCTACAATAACCCTCACATATATATCTATGTGTTTGTCTATATATACATACACATACACATTAATTTATTCTCATTCACAGAAAGCAAGCAAACAAGTCTAGAAAAAGAAAGTATTAAAATTAAGGAAAAATCTCTCTACATTTATGGAATAAATTATATGAATTGGATTAGTGGAATATTCATATGAGAGAAATAGTGAAAAAATATGAAACTAATTTCTAATAAAAAGCAGAGCAATAAAGGCGAGATACAAATCTAATAAATAAATTTTATATAATTACTCCTGGAATAGGATACTTTCATCTATTTCTGTTTTTTAGAAATGTTTGAAGATTTTTATTCAAAATCTATCATTAAAAGAAAATTTGGCTTTCTTGTAATGAAATTAGAGAAGCTTTCTATGATAATTTTGTTGCTGGACATACGGCCAATCTAAGCATAAATTTCCATTTTTAGATCTTAAGACATAGGGTAAAATCATGTTTTCACACTTAAGTGACATACTGAAGTTTCTTCTTTTATATGATTTAGAAACTTTTTCCTGTTCATTTATATATATGGAATAACAGTAATTATAGTGTTATAGTGCTCACAGATGGGTTTTACATTTATATAGCAGATGTAAAAAAAATTTAGAAGCCAAGGTGTGGATATTCCAGATCCAATTAGAATTTTTTTAAAAACAAATCCTACAGAACCTTACAACCTTCATTGGAAAAGAAATTGTTCAAATTATTACAATTATTTTTTCCAGTTTGTGCAATAAAATTTAATGTTAGGTGTTTGTGAATATAGGAGATAAATGCATAAAGTAGTTTTATGAAACGGCTTCCAAATGGATTCTTCAGGAATCTTTCATCATTATCATCTTTCATATGCTATATATTTTACAAATGTAGCATCCCACTTAATTTCTTGATAAGCGCTATTGGAAAAGAATGGGATACTCCTTGACTTACAGTATACTTCAGGATTAATATGTATATTAGATCTTGTGGAAGAAAGCTTATGCCTATAATATACAACCAAAGAGAATTATGATTTTCTGCTCTGTTCTTTAAGGAACTTGGAAAAATCATTTATCATTTTTGAAATCCTTTTCAGTAGTAGTTCTTTTTATTCATGTTTTTAAGGAAGCTCTCAGCTCCACTCTAGTACCTATATTTTTATTTTATTTTATTTCTGCATGAATTAACAGTATTCTGAATATATAATTCAATTTCCTCCATAGAATCCATTACAAAATAGAAAGCTCATAGTTCATACACATGAGTTTCATTAAAGGGAGTGATAATACCTAGCCAAAATAAACATGTAAAATTTATCTTCATTTAGAACAAGGTTCAAATGTTAGTACTCCAATGTCAAGGTAAAGTGTTATGTCCCTGTATGACTGCCTGAAATGTTTCACTCAGTCACTTTTCTGATGTTTTTCTGGAGTTCTCTGATGAAAATCTGCAAGTACTGTCAAGCTTGCCAGTTTTCACTGGCACATTTCAATTGACACAGGCCTGAAAGCAACACTCTGACATCCAGTTGTGTGAGACATTCTAATTAAAACACTTCATAGAGAAATCTTGCCACCTTGGATTTGGTGTGATGCAAACTTGCCCAAATTATTTCCAGAGGACTTTTCATACCCAAAAGAATCAGTTGAAAATTCTAGAGCAAAGTAATTTTTATATAAATAAATGTGTCAAACATTTTTAACACATTTCTCAGTTATAAGATTTAAGATTTAGTTGAACCTATACCATTTTCTTTCTCCCAATCATTTGTGGACTTCAGAACAAATTATTTTTTATTTTATTCTTTGATGAGGAAAATCCATACTGTACAGCTAAACCCATGATTATTCAACAGATTTTTCATATTATATATTTAGTTCATTATTAGTTCTTCCATGGTGGCAATCAATGCAGCATATACAATCCTTTCAGAAGTAATGGAGTTAAAAATAACTTCATTGCTTCATCATAAGTAGCTTTAAGTGGATTAGACCTGAAAATCAACATCTTGGTAAAATTGAGAAAGCTCTAGAGTAGGTAATCAATGTGGATCAATACTTTTAGCAGTTCTAAGATTCAAAAACAGACAAACATCATTCCTAAATTCTAAAAACTAAATCAGACAAGGAAAAGTGGAAAAGTAAAACCAACATCAAATTCAGATTTTAAATTACCTTAAATCAAGTAATATAATTATAATTATTATATAGTTTATAATATAATTTAATTTACTGCAACAGAGATCAGATATTAATAGAAATTTCTTAGCAGCAGATTAGGAAATATATTGCCTCATTTACATTATGACTCAGAGATGTCATTGTAGCAGTATATTTGTAGGTTATCCTGCTGGTTCTTTTCTCCTTGGTTATATGTCATCTTTTGCAGGAGCAAACCCACCCTTCAAATATATAACACATAATAAAACATATTTGTACAATAATATCTATTATCTTTAAAATTTGCACCTAAAAAGGGATTATAGATGATAATTTCACCATCTGAAAATTTATCCAGAACAATAAATCTTTTGATTTTCAGGCTGGGCAGGGCTACTTTCTATGTAATCAACAACTAAATAAGAGTATTATTTCTGCAGCCACAATTTTATTTCTCCAAGTTGCACCAATCAATTCAGCATTTCAGTATTTCTTTAAAACTGAACCTTTAATTTTTTTTGTTGAAAATGAACATGCAGCTTAGTAAGAAAGGTTGAAGGGATTATTTTTAGTTCCAGATAGTGAAGGCTCCTCAAACTTTTAATGAGGAGAACCAATGACTATTTTTTCTTTTAACAATTGCTATGTAAGCAATAGCATTTTGAAATAAAACCTGAATAATGTCAGAAGGAAATAAAATATTTTCACTAATAAAACTTGTCAAGAATATATTGCAATTGCAAATCCATTGTAATGCAATTTTTATCTGTAAAAGCAAATTGTAGCTATTTGCACATTTTAACTGTGTCTGTTGTGCAAACCCAGTTCCAGATTGCAATCTTACTCGTATTTACCTGAAAGTAGATATCAGTGAAGTTAACTGGCTTATTTCTGGATAGACAATAACTAATTGGTGTGTAAAATAGAAATTAATGTTGGTGATATTATTTTTTACACAATCATTTTGTCATGCAATCTAGAATGTATCTAAGAAAAGAACCTGGTATGTTGCTTTTATTCTTGAATTACTGACTCAATTAGCACCAAAATTTTACAAGATAGCAGTCCTTCTCTTTGTGTTAATAATAAAATAAAACAGCTAGAAATATAAGAAGGAGCCCCAATTTACCAAATGATACATTATGTTGTTAGGAGACAGCCTGATAAGAAAAGTCTACCAGGTTTCCTGTGCACACTGCAATAGATTGACTCAACTGAGAATATACCAGACCAGGATATTATCCTATTAAACATCAGTGTTGTATTTGGATGATTTCATAGCAATTCTGAGCAGTTAGACCAAGGATGAAAAATTAATTTTCCCAACAGGCCACATGAGAAATGGGGACTGTTGTGGATGGCCGAGCCAATAGGCTGAACTTACATGCGTGGATGGTGTACACTTATTTATGTCTGATTTCTAATTTCTGATTGACCTCACATGGGCCAAACAGGAACAGCCAAAAGGCCAGATATGGCCCAGGGACCAAAACATGCCCAGATCTGAGTTATACAATTTTCAAACAACAAAACTGTATAGATCTATAGTAACCAGGTCACATTACAGCAAGATACAAGAGCTTTCTGACCTCAAATTATTTTGATCAAAGCTAAATACTAGTTCATTGAAGCAAATTTATTATAACACCTTCTTATGGCTTTGTTATAGGCAGTTAACGTTGTTCAATTATTTTTCAAGCAGGCAAATCCCTTCTCTTCCCATTTCCCTTTCAAATACACTCTAGGAAGAAATGAAAACAGCTTAATGTGTTTGTGTGTGTTTCTTTTTTTTCAGGAATAGTGGCAGTTCTTTTTTGTGGGGTCACACAGGCCCATTATACATACAACAATCTGTCAGCAGACTCCAAAATGAGAACTAAACAGGTAAAGTATGCAAACTCCCCATCTTTCTGAACCCTTGCTTGCTTTGTATCTTCTGCAACAGTAATTGGGTATCTCACAAAGCTGACAATATAGCCTGGAGAGATTTCATTATACCAAAACAAACAAACAAACAAACAAACAAACAAAAAAGCTTGTATCTTCATTAAGGGAGAAGTATATCAACAACTGATCTTTGCTAGCAAACACAATGTCATTCTTCTGCTAAGCAAAATTTAAGAAAGGTCTTTTTTTCTTTTGAGGCCAGAAGCATCAATGTTATCGTAGATATGAAATACGCAGAGCTAGTGATAGTTTTCAGTGCCTTTTATCAAATCAGCCTCGGCCTCTACTGCATATATGCTTTACTCAAGGGCTTATAGCTTGATGGAGTTTCTATCTTGTCTTTTGCTTGGAATCACTGACACACCTCTCCCTTTCATCTCACAAATGGGGATTAAAATTCCTTTAGGTCAGTGGTTCTCAACCTTTTTAATGCCGCGACCCCCAATCGGTCGTAAGTCGAGGACTACTCAACCGGTCGTAAGTTGAGGACTACTCAATTGGTGCAGTACCGTTTGCAGAATGGGACTTTTGGCGGGCTCAGCAGGGCAGAGACAGCCTGGACAATTCCTATTGGCTTTGGAAAACCAATAGAATTAGACTCTATTCAAGAGAGTCTATTCTATTGGCTTTCAAAAGCCAATAGAATGAAAGGGAGTAGCACAGCTAAGGAAAAGGGGGGAAAAAATGGCGGACGGCATAGTTTGGCGACCCCTGTGAAATGGTCGTTCAACCCCAAATGGGGTCCCAACACACAGGTTGAGAACCACTGCTTTAGGTGAAGCATGCTTTTCAAAACTGAGAACCATAATTCATGGAAATAGCTCTGTAGATTCTAGGTAGATTCTAGGTTGTAATGAAGTTGAACTGTTTTGTTGGAAGAAATAGAAAAGCAGTTAGGTAATTTTAAACCATGTTTAATGATGTGGTAACATCCAGTTTGATGGTGAAATGCGTTATGTTACTTTTTGTTTCAGGTACCTCTGAAACAACTTAGTCCCACTAAGTCTACCAACATAGACCCACTAAGTCCAGGTGAATATTGCAGGTGTCAGATTTCAAATAAGGAGAAGTATAAGCCAAAAATTCTGTAGGGAATATAGCATCTGGAGTAGATGAATTGTCTGAGTGTTCTCCAGGTCCTAGAGAAAGAAAACACTTGAAAATATATGCTGTTGGGGCAGAAACTTCAAAATAGAAATTCCTATAATCAGTGAAAATAATGGGTCACCTTACTGTCAACATCTAAGCTCTCTATCTATAACCCTCAAGTAAATAACATGCTTTCCTTAGTTCTGTTGTTCAACCTCCTTACCTTGTTATGCTTTAGTGCCTTTAATATTAGCTTTGATATGTCATATCACTTCTAGTTATTGCTTTCATAATCTTTTACTGCTTCTATAATCAAAAACTATACTTGTTACTGTTCAGCTTTCTTTATTTTGGTTTGCGATGCAAATGTTCATCTTAATTGCCCATGAAATCTTGAAATGAAAACACTTCATAGATAATTTCTCATGTGCTTATAGCTGATTTTAGACTGTAATTCTAATATGACTACATAATAATCCTAAACCTTTGCTTCAAATTTGTATCTTGACAGCAGCACAACAGATATTTCTGCAGCTACTCACATACCATCATCACATTCAGGAGCCCACATTTGACATGAAAGTAGGAAAAATAGATAAAAAGTTATCCAGATGTTTCATCAAAACCCCCATTTAGGCTAATTAACTAGAGCATTATAACTAGTAGATTCTTATTACTTTTCCAGAACCCGCTTTATTTGTTCTTTCTATGTACAGTTAGTATATAATCTCTTTTAATCATGATATTCTAAAAACAGAATTGGAGGCTGATATGATGCTTTTTCTGTGATAAAATATACAAATCAGGACATTTATAATCAAATTACTCATTTAAAGACATCTAATTGAAATTGTAGGAAAAAGACCATGGAAAAGTTTTTAGCATCTATCTGTAAAGAATGCTAGCTTGAATGTGATCATTTCTTTGAGACCTTGAAATTCACTTTAAAATAATACTAACATTCCACATCCAAGTACAATTTTTTGGAAGGACTATTCTAAGAACAATAACCATTTATAGAAACTATATGATGAAAGCTATCCTGCTGAGAGAAATTTGTTGAATGAAATTAGATGTAGATTTGTAATATTTTTAGTATCTGTACTACATTGTTCATTTACATGAGAATAAGCTCTACTTATTCTAGTGAATAAGTAGTGAATATATAGGTCTGATATTACTGTAATACCTCCATACCTCATCTCCCTAGCACTGCATCAAACTGACCTTGCCTTCAGTCAATCATTGAAAATAAAATAATTACTGTACATAAATTGATAGAATGTGAATAGTAGTGTTATTTAAAATATTGCTGACCTGGACAGCTAGTTCTTGTCAATCTCAATTTGGTGTTTTAAACAACTCTGATTTATCAACTTTTATTGAAATGAGCGCACCAATATGTTCAAGGATATGTGAGCCAACCTGACACTTGTGATGCTGGACTTCAGAAAGAATCTATACCACCAATTTTGTAACATGAAATTTGTCAATAGAAAAGGAAAGGAAAGAATATTCCAAGCAAATTTCAGTGAATGGTTTCAGAGTTATTATCAGCATATGACTTAAACCTTACAGCAAGAATGAAGAACCTCTAACCATAGGCCTAATCTAGCCTGTAGAGTTGCTCCATCTGACCACAAGTGGCTTTGTCCTCCTTCTTGAAATCCACGCACTAAAGACATGATCAATATAGAGGTAGAGGAGTAGCTATTCTGAGAAATCTGCAGCTGAAACTACAGCTACCAGCTGTTAATATCATCATGGACACATTTGAAGAGTCTTTAATTCCCCAACCTTAATATATAATTCAAAGGGCAACTCCTTTCTTGTTCAGATCAATGACTCTAAGATAGAAAACTTTGTGTAACCAAGATGATAAACTAACATCACTAACTTCCTTGTCAAGATGGCTGGACTCCTTGAAGATTTCTGCTTTGACCAGAGCTATATGGTAAATTTCCAAAGTCCCTACTTCACAATCATCAATAAAGTTGAGGTTTGGTGTGGATTCTGAATTTAATAGTTAGCGTTAGTTGAACTACAGCTACTTCTTAGCAATAAGTATTTGGAAAACTATCCAAACAGATATCCTTTTATATCTGGCATTCTATGGAATTGTATGACATTTAGCTAGAAAAACAGTTGTGTCTGAGGCTGACAAAAGACCTGATTCTTTGTAATAAAACCTTTCTGGATATGGTCCACTGCATTTTGCTGCAGTACTAGTTAGGGCAAGCCTTTTATAGACAATTAATCTGCTCTTCCCAAACTGAACAATCACTGCAATATCAGGATTTATTCATACTTATTGTACCACTGACTTTTGACTTTCAACAAAGTAGAAAACATTCTTGGTCTAGAAAGACTAAAGTGAAGGAGCTGATGGTTAGCAAGACTGTTTTTTTTTTGTTTTTGGTTTTTTTTGCAAATAAATATATTTTATTATCTTCATGAATAAGCTATTAATCTTTGGATTTTAAACTAACTGATAACCTCTTCAAGTACCTTAGGTGTCTTTTTAACAAAACAAATAGTCTAATAAGCGAGAATTCCCAAATTCATTACATTGTTTCTTAAATAAAGTATCTTTTAATCTAACAGAATAACATGATAATCGAATAATAGAATGTTCTTTTTCATTTGCTTCTTCCAGGAAATAGTTTTTCTTTTATTTTTGTTCTTAATTATGATGTCAATCAGGATCATTTTGGAGCTGGAGAACTCAGACATTAGATGAATTAATAAATAATGCCAACTAGGACAGAGGTCCCCAACCTTGTGGATACCAGAGACCGGTTCTGTGGAGAAAGGTTTTTCTACAGACCAGAGAGTATGTGGTTTTGTGTGCTGCCTGCATCCCATGGATGGGGATTTGCTTGTTTGTGCGGACCGGTTGCAGGCATGCCGTGGCCCGGTACTAGTCCACCGACTGGGGGTTGGAAACACCTGAACTAGGAGATTCATTATATGGTGTGTAGTAGTTTCCTTTTGAATCCTGTAAAATTTCACACCACAGCTTTGGGAATTGCTTAGATTCTTTTCTTTCTCATATCCAGTAGTGTTAAAGGAAAGATTCAGAAGAACAAAAGTTTCCAGCAAATCCCTACCTTATTATCTCATTTTTTTTAATAAAGTTTAAAAATACAAATATAAAATATTAATACAAATGAAGAAAAATACAAAAAAGAAAGAAAAAGGAAAAAGGGACAAAGGAAAATATGTCAAAGGGAAAAAAAATGACTTTCCCCTTCATCAAAAAAAGTCAATTTCAGAAACTTATAATCCTTTCTAATATTTCAGTCTAAAATCTCTTCATTCCATGTCATCCTTTATCTATGAACAAATAATAAAACTTTATTATTCAGTCTTAATCAGCAAAGTAATAAGAGGGAACATATAAAACATACCTTCCCTCTTGTAATCCAATCAGGAGGTGGCATTTTACATAAGAATATAAGCAATGCACTGATGGATTGGTATTATGGCCCATCTAGCCCAGCAATCAGGACTATACAATCAATTGTACAAGGGAGCCTAATGGTTTCCCCTTCAAAAACAATGACATTGCCATCAAGACTAAGTGTCCTTGATCTCTATGATTACCAGGAATTGGTCCAAACTATGTTTGAAGCATTCAAACTGGTAGCTAGCACCACATCATAGTAAGGCTCCATCTTTGAAAAAATAAAAGACTTTTCTTTAGATAGGACATCTGCCTTGTAAAGCATGTAGTATTATATTGATGTACTCAATCTTTGTGTTACAAGTGCTCTATAGATGTTCATGATGCAACTTTATCTAGTATATAATAAGGACACAGCAAATCTGCAGACAGGCAACACATA